AGTGATGGTCACAAGAATAAGAGTAGTACTTCTTTGGAGGACATCTGGGACTCTGTGACGTGAATTCTGCTTCTGCCACAGACTATTATCGTTGAATTCATCTCTCTCCCTCAGCTCAAAAGGCTCACCTAAATTCCCTTTTCCTGTTCCAGGAGCTGCGGTGCAGCCGCATCACCAGAGCTAAAGTGCTGAGGACACCTTGTGGCTGCTAGAATTAAGGCTTTTAAATGAACCCCAAAACTGGTGCTTTTAGCTGGTACTGTATGCACTCTAAGGATGGGTGGATGAATCTGTCAGTTTCAGGCAGAGCTTGGAATGACATTTTTTTTCAACTACAGATTCTAGAATTCCTCAACTCTCAGAAAAAAAGAAGCAGCAACCCTAATTCAGCCCCACAAAAATGATTGACGAGACAGGAATGCAAAATCAGGGGTTTTGGAAGCTAAGTACTCAAAGCCCTTTTCTTTTTTGTTACATTTTGTGACATTTGTGAACTTTGGAAAGAGATGGACCATTCAAGCAATCCTTCCATCTCCATCAACTGCCAGGCCCTTCCCCTTAGGCATTGTGGGAGTTATAGTACAGGGATGAGGAAGTTTTTGGATTACTGCCTCTTTCTATGTCATGTAGAACCTAGCAAAATAGCCCCTTAAACCAGTGCTCCTCCAGATGTTTTGGACTCCAGCTCCCACCATGCCCAACATCTGGTAAGATGGCTGAGTAGAGCAGAGTTTGAGAAATACTACCTTAAACTATCTGCAGGTTACATTCACTGAAGCATTTGCAAGGGATTAAGAAGCTCCCATTGATTTAGAATGGACTGCAGGGAATTTGGTTCAGAGGGAATTTGACTCTGCATGTGTGTGGTAGCTTCTTTTCATCCTTTCAATCAAGCCTATTTCCACTACAAGAAGCAAGAGACCTCAAATGAAATTGACCTTTAGCAAAAAAATAAAAATAAGAAATCAGCAGGTATAGACTTGGCTTCCAGTAGACTCATGCTCCAGACAATATGGAAATACTAAATTAAGTATCTCAAGAACTACAGAATGAATAACCAGCAAAAAGAAAGCTTGTTCTTCTATATCTTTTTGTAACTTGTACAGTGGACTCTCAGTATCCTTACTTACTTAGGCGATCCCTCGTAGCCCGAGGATGATGGTCCTCCAAGTCTGGTGTCTTGGCGATGGGCCTGTAGATGACTGTGGAGCCCTATTCTTGATCCGCTTGTTCTCCCGCAGTGAGGGCATCGGTTTCCAGATAGAAGGTAGTCCTGGTCAGGGTTGGCTTGACATGCCTTCCTCTTGGCACATTTCTCCATCTCCCCCTCCATTCATGCCTCTACAAATTCTGCAGCACTGCTGGTCACAGCAGACCTCCAGTTAGAGCACTCAAGGGCCAGGGCCTCCCAGTTCTTGGTGCCTATGCCACAGTTTTTGAGGTTGGCTTTGAGCACATCTTTAAATCTCTTTTCCTTTCCACCAATGTTCCATTTTCCATTCCTGAGTTCGGAGTATAGTAACTGCTTTGGGTGACGGTGATCGGGCATTCAAACAACATGTCCAGTCCAGCGGAGTTGATGGCGGAAGAGCATTGCTTCAATGCTGGTGGTATTTGCTTCTTCCAGCATGCTGACATTTGTCCACTTGTCTTCCCATGAGATTTGCAGGATTTTTCGGAGGCAGCACTGATGGAATCATTCCAGGAGTTGTGTATGACGTCTGTAGATAGTCTACATTTTGCAGGCATATAGCAGGGTTGGGAGGACAATGGCTTTATAAACAAGCACCTTGGTATCCCTACAGATGTCCCAGCCCTCAAACACTCTCTGCTTCATCCAGAGAAATGCTGCACTTGCAGAGCTCAGGCGGTGTTGTATTTCAGTGTTGACTTTTGTGGAGAGGTGGCTGCCAAGGTAGCGGAAATGGTCATCATTTTCTAATGTTACACCATTAAGCTGTCTTTCTGGCATTGGAGAAGGATTGGCTGGTGACTGCTGGCCTCAGTATCCATTGGGCTTAGGTTCTAGGACCCCTCTGTATGTTCAAGCTCCATTATATCCAGTGGCATAGTAAAATGATGCCCCGTATATAAAATAGTAAAATCTAGGTTTCTTTTTGGGATTTTTGAAAAATATTGTCAAGCCACAGATTGAAATTCATGAGTGCATAATCTGTGGATATGGAGACTGACTGCAATTGAGTGTCACCTGTAATGTCAATGTCAAATGTTCTTTCCAGCCTATTCAGGGCATTTAGGTCTAGCAGACTCCTATTTATACACAGAGATAACAAAACTCCATCTTGTGGTGTACTGCATAGTTAATGAAAGAGCTCCACTAAGGCGTCTTCCACACAGCTGTATAAAATCCACATTGAACTGGATTATATGGCAGTGTGGACTCAGACAATCCTATTCCAAGCAGACATTGTAGATTATCTGCCTTGATATTCTGGATTATATGGCTGTGTGAAAGAGCCTTAAGTCTAGTAGTGAAACTGGTAAGTGCAAAGGGATTAAGTAAAAAGTTTTTTTTAAAAATCACCCATATATAGCCTAAAGGGGTCCTTCTTCATTAAAAAAAAAAATTATCCTCAAGGTGTCTTATAGGCCTGGGTAACAACGGAAAAATTTGTTTCTAAAATCGATTTGTATTTGGGGGGTTTTTTTGTTTCGATATTTAAAATAATTCCAAATTTTCCTTTTAAAAAGTTTGATATTTACGAAATTTTGTAAATGGTAAAAAAATTAACGAATCGATTTCCGAAACAATAACGAATCGATTCGTTAATGGCGGACGTGACCGCGAAATACGCTAAAAAACCTCCAAAACCTTCTGAAGCTTCCCTCTCCCTCTGTTGTTGACTGTTGGTATGATATTATAATTTTTTTTCACTAATTAAACCATAAAACTGGCCCAGACATGCGGAAATAATAACGAAACGACCTCAAAACAATAACGAAACGAATACAATATCGAAATACGAAGCATTTACAAAACGTTTTTGAAAATTCGTTTTTTTTAATAATTGCTCCAGAATGGTTTGTTATCGTTTTGTAATTGAAAAAATTAACGAATTATTAACGAATTACGAATTAACGAAACGAAACCGCCCAGCCCTAGTGTCTTAGTTTGACAGGAACAGCCCCATTTAATCCTCTGTCATCCCACTGTTTCAGCTGCTTTTAAAATGCTCTAGTCATTGTCCCTTCCTCCCACTTCTCCCTTTGTCCTCACCTTATTTGAGTTGCTCCACACTGAGTTCACTCAATTAATTTATCAGGAGCAGAGGAGCAGAGGGAGGGTCCTTCTCAGCTGGCTAGGACAAAAGCCAATGTCTGCAACCTCACCTACATCATTCTTCCCCATTCATAATTTTTGCTATTATACAACCCTGATATTGCTTTACCACATGTGACCTAGTTTTCATCTATGAAATGTTGGAGGTTCTAAAGATTCCTGCCTTTATCCACACCTTTGGTCTGGTCCTGGGAAGAGAAAATGTGCAGACATATCCAGGGGTCAGGAGTGGTCCAAGAAGAGACTCTCTACTTGGCTTGTGCACCCACCTTGAGAAAGTGGGATGGGATTCCTTTGCTGTACACTTCCATGAAATACCAGTGAATCTTTTCCTACAGCAATGGCTTTGTCTGCTCTTGACCTTCTGAGTTATGTGGAGAAGAGAAACAATTATTTTGAGGACAGGCGTTTATCAAGTGCTGGAGATAATAGCACAAATGCTATAGTGAGGAATAGACAAATAATACAATATTCCAACAATGGCAGGCAAAAAAGAAAACCCTTAAAGAAACAACTAGGGGCAATGGCCCATGGTATTGGATGTCTCTACCCTAATGCATGGAGCATGGTTCTTTGAACACGGTCCTACTTCTTGGCAGGGGGTTGGACTGGATGGCCCATGAGGTCTCTTACAACTCTATGATTCTATGGGGAGTAAATAAGATGAACTTGCACTCTTAACTCAGCAAAGGAAGTATGATATAATGGACATCATTGAAACCTGGTGGGGTTTATTTGTGTTACGAATTACCTGAGAAACTGCAAGTCATTTATGGTGTGAGAGAATTGGTCGTCTGCAAGGACATTGCCCGGGGATACCCAGATGTTTGATGTTTTACCATCCTTCTCTGGTGTTTTACCAGGCTTCTCTCTTGTCTCTGCATGGGGAACTGGAGCTGACAGAGGGAGCTCAGCCCGCTCTCCCTGGATTCAAAACGCTAACCTATTGGTCAGCAGTCCTGCTGGCACAAGGGTTTCACCCATTGCACTACCGGGGGCTCCATGGTGGGATGACTCTCACGAATGAAATGTAGTATGAAATAGACCAAACTTAAAAGGAGAGGAACCACATTATATATCAAGGATGCTTAGATATTTCAAGTTTACATAGTCCTCGGGAGCACCTATATAAAGCTAGCAGTTCTAAATGCTCAGAACAAAATCAAATTTACAGAAAAAGAATGGGTGACATCGGTACATGTGGAAAGGATCTAAAAGTCTTAGCTGACCACAAACAGTGTGATGCAGCAGCTAAAAAAGCCAATGCAATTATAGGCTGAATCAACGAAAATAGGATGTCTAAATCAAGGGAAGTAATAGTACCACTCCGTTTCACCCTGGTCAAATCTCACCTGCAATGCCGTGTCTAACCATAACTCAAGAAGTATATTGACAAGCTAGATTGTGTCCAGAAGATGATGAGTGGTCTGGAAACTATAACCTATATGAAGAAAGAACTGGATCTGTGTAACTTAGGAAATTGGGTATGTTTAACTTGAAGAAAATTAATAAAAAATGAGATCTACCTTTATGTTGACTCACCATTCAACATCTGAGTAAATAGCCGCCCTGAGTCCCCCTCTGGGGTGAGAAGGGCGGGGTAGAAGTAACCGAAATAAATAAATAAGTTTGCTGAACTTGGGATTAACCAGTAGGATTCTAGTCATTCATTACTCATTAGCACACAATTATTCATCAGTGCCTTAAATGTACCAATTTATTGACTGGAATTGCAGAAACAGCAATCCAAGAGCAGGACTGAATGTAGGAACATTCCCACAGCAGCTGTCCCAATGAAAAATTCCACCCAAGCAGATATTAGTCTTAAATTAGAAGAGCTCCTATTGGTGTCACATGTAACTTGGTCCTTAAAGACAAAGGGGAAAGGAATCATGACCTGTACTCTAACCAAGTCAGAAGGCAATGTAAAGAACAGAAAATCTGTATAGATGCTATAGATAATGATAAGATTATACTTTGCAACTCCAACTCAGAGAATTTTCCAGCAAAGGAATTCTGCGGGTTGCAGGGACCTTTCTCTGCATCCCTTTGCCTTCTCAAAGTATGCAATGAGTTGGAAGCTTCTTGATGGCTGCTCCAAATTCTGGAAATCCCTGTCTAGAAAGGCTAGACTAGTCCTTTTTTCAGCAGGCAAATACTTTTTTGTTTCAACACACCTTTGGATACTAACGACTCATTAGGAAAGGGGCTTGCCATAATGTGCAACACTGTCTATATTTTTCCTTTAAAGGGCATGCTTTTATATTGCTTTTTATTCAATTTGCAGTTTAATTATAATGTTACTTTTGTACATTTTCATGATATGGACTTTTATCTCTACCTGTTTTAACATTGCAAGCTGCCTTGAAAGGTGGGAAATTCACTTTGCAAGCTCTAGTATCAAATCTCTGCAAGCTGGAGATGCAAGAGCCAACCAGATGCAAGAGCCTCAGTTACAGATCACCACCCTGCCTTTCAAAACACATACAACAATGTAAAAGGAACAATGATTTATAGATGGAATGGAAAGCTCCATAAAATCCCACAGGAGAAACTCTTCAGTGATCTTGTTAAACATTTCTAAGTTCCATCTTTCCTGTTCCATTCCCAGAAGAACTCACAGGAGAACATTTCAGTTGGAGCCATCGCCTGCAAATCTGCTACCAGAGAGAAGCTGAAGCAGCACCTGCTTCCACCACCACATCCTGGGAGAACTCTCTGTCCCTAGCAGCCACCACAGATTCTTTGGAAGGGGAGAGGGATGGACCAGAGCTCATTGTCCCTCTCTCCTTAGCCTTCAACAGAGTCCAGGAGTGTCCAGTATTGAGGAGCATGCTCCTCCTTCTAGCAGTGAGAATCCAGCTCCGTCAGTGTCAGGAGCCCAGTGCCAGTGGTGGGGAAGGGCGGAGGATTGGGACACATTCCTTGGGGCAAGTCTTCATCTGGACAAACAAGCTGGTGAAATCTCTGAAAGGCAAAGTGAGGAGGAAATTAAGAAAGATGGAAGAACTTTTTACAACTCAAAAATGTTGCCATGTACCAGAAAATTCAAGTTCTTTGACAGATTTAAACCTAATACATTGCCTAGGATGAGAAATAAGATGGTGCAGGTTAGGTTGGAGCTTTCAAAGAAAGTGGTACAGTGTATATAATTCCACATATATTTTTTCCTGCCATCTGCTACTTCAGGCAGTGCCTTTTTCTGCAGGGCTGATCCTGTTCCAAGACCCAATGCTTCTTCCCTCCCTCTTTTTACCTCTGTTGTTGTAGTTCAGCCTTTGATTGTGCCTGCACCTGATCTCTCTGGGGATTCTGGGCCTCTTAGTCAACCTGTTGACAGAAGGGATTCTAGGCCTGTTAGTCTGCCTGCTGACATAGGATTTTGAGTCTGCCAGTCTGCAGGAAAGTCAGCAGGAGCAGCTAGAAACTTTAAAGACTGAAAATGAGCCGTCTCTGGCTGAAGGCCACATTCCAGAAGATGATGATAGTGAAGGTCCAGGTGATCAGACTAATGAACAATTAGATAGAAGATTTATGTTTCGTCAACATAGACTTTCACATGAAAAAGTCTGAAGTTAAATCACTTGTGAGTGAGGAAGTCTGTATCAGTTTCCCAAGGGAAAATGCACACTTTTTACTCTGTATCTTAGATAAGCTAACTGAATCTTTGGTCAGTAGAAACAACGTTGGAGATTGAGGATAGAACTCCTGTCAAATTAAGGGATTCTCGAGTGCCATGTTTATGTTAAGGGCTGTCCTGAATTTCATGTTTTGGATTTATTCTGCTCTTTGTTTGCCAGGGGAGACATTTTTGTGCATGCGCAGTAGTGTCTTTTTGTTTTTTGGTTTTTTAAGTCCCTGCCACTGTGTTTTTCAGTGTTTTTATGAGTGATGGCCACTCATTGGCCTGATAAGTGTATTATGTCCAAGGCACCAAATTTTACCACAAAAAACTGGGAAAACGTATTGACTCGAGTACAAGCRGAGGGTAGGAAATGCAGCAGCTACTGGTAAATTTCAYAATAAAAATAGATACAATACAATTACATTAATTAAGGCACCAGTAGGTTAAATGTTTTGAATATTTACATAAAACTATAATTTAAGATAAGACTGTGGAACTCTGATTAAACCATTATTCTAACCTTCTTCAATGTAAATGTGCTTGCATATCCTTCCAATAAAAAAGAGTAAAATAATAAATGTAATAATACTAATACTAATAATAATAATAATAATAATAATAATAATAGAGTAAAATAATGGAAATGTAATAACAGTAATAATAGAGTAAAATAATAAATATAATAAAAACAATAACAAAGTAGAACGATGTAACAACAACAACACATTAATTATGTATTTCTAACAGGGTAAAATAATAAATAACTTTGACTCAAATATAAGCTGAGCAGGACTTTTTTAGCCCAAAAAAAGGGCTGAAAAACTAGGCTTATACTCGAGTATATACAGTATGTTAATCCCACAAACTAACATTACATTTTTATTTATATAGATGATGCCCTGAACTATGACAGGTATTTTTCCCCACCAAAACCGCCACTGAGTTTCACATCACATATGGTTACTCCTCACAATAGGATACTCACCTATTTATGAGGGTGAGGGGTTTTTTTTTTAAGTAACTCCAGTTGATGGTCTGGGGTGAATTGAATTTAAATAAAACCTTTGAAGTTTGCTCCCTTCTGTGAATGTTGAAATAATGCCTCTGAATACTATGAAGGTTCAGTCCAAGTTTAACTATAGCATGAAAAGGAAAAAAAAAATATGCACTGCATAGCAACTCCTTTAAAAGTAGCTCTCAGCAGTATAGTCCTTGTAATCCTTGGAAGTGAATTTAAAACATCTTGCGTGAAAATACATGAAGCATTTAATCTGGAAGTCAAAGAGCAGAGGAGGAAGAAAAAGGAAAGCATGGGAGCACCAAAAAGGAAATCTCTCAAGTGGTGACATTTTCGAAGTATCATGCAGTCAATAACAGGCACGTAGGAAGTCAGTTTGCTCTGTGTAGCCCTCAAGGCAGCGCAAATCCAATCATGCTACTACCTGCTGCTTGTAACAGAGTGATCCTTGGCAAATTAGTGCAAGGCTCCAGTTAATTAACTTGCAAGACCACAAGCCCAGCGGAGGAGGCCTTCCTGTCTATATACTGGCAGCTGGATAGCAAGTTTCCTCTCAGCCAGGTAGCCTCTTTGCACCCCAAAAGCCCTGCTGAGTAAGACAAACCTCACCTCTCTCAGAGATCCTTTAATGGTGGAGAGTTTATAAGCAATCCAAAGTGGGATGCAGATCATAGACGAAAGAGCCAGCAGCCAGCCCACAGTGTCTCCCCACCACGGGTAAACGTATTTCTTGTTGTATGTCACCGGGGTGTATTTAATCAAGGAAAAGAGAAAGGTTGCCTGGAGTAATAGAAAGGAAGGGTTAGATACGACAACATTAGCAACTACTGTCTGGCTTCATGGACTAAGAGACACCAACATCCATCATAAGGTCACTATCCTAAATGTAGATATCTAATTTCATTCACGGTTTTGCAAATGAGATGCAATATGCTAATCAGAGGTCCATAATTGTAAAAATTCTAAATATTTAGAGTTTCCCCTTTAAATATATTTAACTACAGAGTTCAGGCCCACGTGGCACATGGGGTCCCAAACTACAATGCGATAGTGTTTTGTTTTCTTCCATTTGTTTATAGATAGCTAGGCAGGCACACTAAGCCTAACACTACCATGAGCAAACTTTGGCCCTCCAGGTGTATTGGACTCCAACCCACCATTCCTAACAGCCTCAGCCTTTGCTTCCCCCCACAGCCGCTTAAGCGGCTGTGGGGGAAAAGGAAAGGACCTGAGACTGTTAGGAATGGTGGGAGTTGGAGCCCAAAACACCTGGAGGGCCAAAGTTTGCACATCATCATCATCATCATCATCATCATCATCATTTAATTACTTATTAATCGCCCTCCATCCAAGATGCTCTAGGCAATTTACAAGCTAATGTCTGGCCTAAAGGGATGACTTCAGTAAGTAAAAAGGTCCTTAAACTTAGGGTCTCCTTCTCCCCGAAATAATCTTCCCCCAACCATATGGGACGGGCTATTTAATCCACATCCTCCAACTATTTCAATTTTGCACTATTTAATCCTCAGTTGCCTTTAAAATAAACTGGTTTCTCTCTCCTCCAATTTTCTTTCATGATCCTCGACTTGTTATTTCCACCATCTGCAAACAGAATTCAAAATGCAAAAGTACTTTGTACTCAGTTAACTCAACAGGAGAGATAGGTTTCTTTCCCTCTTTTCAGGCTTTCTAAAACCAGTGGCTAAACTCCAATGTTTCTCTACTTATGCATTCCTCGTAATTAATAATTTTGGCTGTTTTGTCGCTTGACACCTTTTTGACCACACTCTGATATGTCTCAGGTTTCATCTGTAAAATGTGGAAAAGTATGTTCATCCCATCATCCCCCATCAACATAGTGATGGAGAGTTAGGTAAGCCGCTCTAACGTATAAGGTCTTGTTTCTAACATTTTTTTTTCATGCCAGGAGCAACTTGAGAAACTGCAAGTTGCTTCTGGTGTGAGAGAACTGGCCATCTGCAAGGATGTTGCCCAGGAGATGCCCAGATGTTTTACTATCCTATGGAAAGACTTCTCTCATGTATCCACACAAGAAGCTGGAGCTGACAGACGGGAGCTCACCCCGCTCCCCAGGTTCGAACTGCCAACTATTCGGTCAGCGCAAGGATTTAACCCATTGTGCCACGGGGGGCTCCTAGCCTTTCAAATAAAACGAGGCCATTTCTCTATTTACAAATCACCCAGGCTCACTGCCCTCTTGGAGCCCCGGTGGCACAGTCGGTTAAACCCCTGTGCTGGCAGGACTGAAGACTGACAGGTTGCAGGTTCGAATCCAAGGAGAGGCGGATGAGCTCCCTCTATCAGCTCCAGCTCTTCATATGGGGGACATGAGAGAAGCCTCCCACAAGGATGATAAAACATCAAATCATCCGGGCATCCCCTGGGCAACATGCTTTCAGACTTCCAATTCTCTCACAACAGAAGCGACTTGCAGTTTCTCAAGCCGCTTCTGACATGACAAAAAAAAAAACCTGCCCTCTTGCCAACTTTGCCTTAAGCCCCCAGACAAAAGATGCTTCACTCACCAGGCAGACAGCTGGTGTGATGAATACCCAACAGTATTTGATGAGAGACCATGGCCGATACCCAATCATGTCTTCAATGTTATCATAGAAACGGTCAGCACCTTTAAAAGGGGATGGAATAAGAAATGAAGGAGAGGAGGGGAACAGGAAAGTCAATGGGACAGATTTGGGAAGCATAACAGACACAGCGGCCTGCATAGAAAGAAAAAAAAACAAGGAAGGAAAATAACAAGGCAGCCCTCAGCCCTTGCTCTTGGCAATGGGACAATGAAGGGTAGATTAGTGCAGTGACCAAAATGAGTCTTTCCTCCTTCTCCCTTGTTTGCTTGTTTGCTTCTAACAGGCCCTAAAGCTTCTTAGCACTAGCACACAATGTTCTCTGCCTCTTGAAACCAAATACAAAGAAGGCTCCTGATACTAAAAATTATGCACTAGATTTCATCCACAAGAAGCATTCTGTGATGTTTCCCAACTATCGCTATCAATGGGGTTGCAGCATCTCAGTGCAAGCTGCTTCCCCAGACATGGTTCTAGTCTGGTGCTTTGACAACTGTTTCAGAGAGCACAGAGATGAAGGAAGTGGGAAATGGCCCTTTGCCTGCCACTTGGAATGTACTTAAAGCAGCTCCATTGGCTGCCAACTTGCTTCCAGGCCCAATTCAAAGGGCAGGTTATTACCTACAAAGCCCTATACAGCTCAGGTCCTGCCTATTTACGTGACCTCATCTCTCCCTATGAACCTGGACGGACCTGGGGAGGCCCTCCTTGCAGTCCCACTTCCCTCACAAGCAAGGTTGGTGGGGATGAGGGAGAGGGCCTTCTTCATAGTGCCCCCCCAATTCTGGACTGCTCTCCCCAAGGAAATAAGACAAGCACCCACCCAATTTTTAGGAAGGAGATAGAACTTGGCTATTTAAGCAAGCCTTTGAGAATGGCTAGACTGTACTGGTAACTATCAGACAGGATTTGAATGACCATGAGATCGTAGTCATAACTCAATGTATTGTCGAAGGCTTTCATGGCCGGAATCACTGGGTTGTTGTAGGTTTTTTTCGGGCTATATGGCCATGGTCTAGAGGCATTCTCTCCTGACGTTTCGCCTGCATCTATGGCAAGCTCTGAGGATGCTTGCCATAGATGCAGGCGAAACGTCAGGAGAGAATGCCTCTAGGACATGGCCATATAGCCCGAAAAAACCTACAACAACCCCATAATCATAACTGCTGGATAGCTCGATAATAGGAATGACTGGTTTCAAAAGTGATATATATCTAGATTGTTTTATAAAGAGCAAATAGCTTTTAAATTAATACTTTTGTTATTTATTGTAAAAAGGTAAAGGTAAAGGTTGTCCCCTGACATTAAGTCCAGTCATGTCTGACTCTGGGGTGTGGTGCTCATCTCCATTTCTAAGCCGAAGAGCCGGAGTTGTCCATAGACACCTCCAAAGTCATGTGGCCAGCATGACTGCATGAAGTGTTGTTACCTTCCCGCCGGAGCGGTACCTATTGATCTACTCACATTTGCATGTTTTCAAACTGCTAGGTTGGCAGAAGCTGGGGGTGACAGCGGAAGCTCATGCTGCTCCTCGGATTTGAACCTGAAACCTTTCAGTCAACAAGATCAGCAGCTCAGCGGTTTAACTCACTGCAACCGGGGCCCCCAATATTTTAAATTGTACTAAGTGATAATTGTTTATTGTTATTGTTGTTTATTACTGCTATATTATTTTTGTATTTGTTGCTTGTTGTAAGCTGCCCCAAATCCCTTCGGCGAGAGGGAACGAGGTATAAATAAAATGTATTATTATTATTATTATAATTCCACAAGTCACGTTATGGCTATACTGCATATCCAGCCTTCGCTCATCCAATGTTCTGTATCACCCAATGCAGTCTACCTCCCGCCCGGATCCACAGCTGTTTCAAAGCATTACAATGTTTTGGTGCTAAATTCGTAAATACAGTAATTACTACATAACATTACCATGTATTGAACTGCTTTTTCTGTCCATTTATTGTAAAACATGATGTTTTGGTGCTTAATTTGTAAAATCATACTGTAATTTGATGTTAAATAAGCTTTTTCTTAATCCCTCCTTATTATCCAACATTTTCGCTTATCCAACGTTCTGCCGGCCCATTTATGTTGGATAAAGGAGACTCTACTGTATTATTATTATTATTACTTACCATACACCCAGCCAATGCAGAGAGTTTCGAAAATGGCAACAAAGAGCAGGCACATCCCACTAGCAGCATAGTAGTCAAACAGCTGGAAGACGTACATCCCACCCTGAGGAAGAGAGCAGAAACATCAAACAGCAAAACGGGAAGAGATGCTCACAGATTTAATGTTCTGTGTGTTTTTACTGTAGCACAATTGGCCAAAGGTAGGGGGGAAGCAATATTTATCAAGAAATGTAAGAAATGTACCCCTTCAAAACAAGAGGTATTCTCCTTAAATATCCTGCTTACAAAAGAATCCACACTCATAGAAGCTTCTTGGAAGTGATGGTTTGCTTATACAAAAGGAACATGGGATGTAGATGCTTTGTTTGCACAAAAATTGCACTTTTAATGGTAAGGTAAGTGTAAAGGTTCCCCCTGAAATTAAGTCTAGTTGTGTCCAACTCTGGAGGGTGGTGCTCATCTCCATTTCTAAGCCAAAGAGCCAGTGTTGTCTGTAGACATCTCCAAGGTCATGTGAAACTTGAATGACTGCATGGAGCACTGTTACCTTCCCGCAGAAGCAGTACCTACTGATCTACACACATTTGCATGTTTTCGAACTGCTAGGTTGGCAGAAGCTGGGGCTAACAGCAGGAGCTCATCCCATTCCACAATTTGAACAGTCGACCTTTCGGTCAGCAAGCTCAGCAGCTCAGCAGTTTAACCCGCTGCTCCACCAGGGGCCCCCTAATGGTAAATAACAACTTTTCATGATTTTTGAGGCAACCTTTAGTGGGTGAAAGGAGCTGCCAAGCATCCACAACATTTATGTGAAGCCTGCTTTCCCTCATCCAAATTTTATAGTTTTTTCCCTTCTGACTGCAAAAATGCAGCTCCACTCCTTGTCATTCTTTTGGTATGCATAAAGATAACAGCACCGTTTCTCCAATATCACCTGCAACCCCATAATTCTCCTGCCTGCAAATGCCATGCTTTAAAGAAATATTTTATTGTCAAATGCTCCAGTGGCTGCTTGGATAGACTGCATTATTTAATGTTAACTGCTCTCAAGTGACAAGCGTTATATGTGTTGCACTGCAGAGGGAGATATCCCTGTATGGATAAATAATTACTGCAAAACCCTCACCCCCGGAGACTATTCCTTAAAATATGTGGCAGCATAATGGGAAGGCCAAGGATAGAGACTTGTCTTTGGAATTCAGTCCGTGTGATGCTCTCCTTTCGGCCTCTTATTACCACAAGACTGGAAAAAAAGATGATAGGTTATAGTCTGGGAATGCAGAATGTCTATATTTAAGTCCCTGCATGGAGAGAAATGAGGAATGCGAGGTATCCAAGAGGACTGCATCTACGAAAAGTATTTTATGCCTCTGCAGCATGTTGACAAGGAGTTAAATCCAATACACAGATGCCAATACACTGCATGAAGTCTGCTCAGGATCCTCTTACAGTCCTATCTGAAGGAAACCCCTCAACTTCCAGAAAAGCCAAACCTGGGATTCATTCAGTTTCAAAACCTTAGATTTTGGTTTTAGAAACAAAAACATTCCCTAACAAAAGACAGACTTGAGAATGAAAGTGTAACTCAGGCATGGGCAAACTTTGGCCCTCCAGGTGTTTTGGACTCCAACTTCCACCATCCCTAACAGCCTTGGGACCTTCCTTTTCTCCCTCAGCTGCTTAAGCTTCAGTCCTGCTGGCACAAGGGTTTAACCCACTGCGCCACAGGAGGCTCCAAATGCCAGCTGAGATCTTTTGACATGGCACCCAGTGTGGTGATTACTGGGTTATTCCAGAGCCTTTGCAGTTCAATTTTGAGGTCTTGATAATGGCTGAGTTTTTCCTGTTGTTTTTCATCAACCCAACTGTCCCCTGGTATGGCAACATCAATAATCCATTTTTTTTTCTTTTCCAAAATAGTGATGTCTGGTGTATTGTGTTCCAAAACTTTGTCAGTTTGGATTCAAAAGTTCCACAGTATTTTTGCGTGTTCATTTTTCACTACCTTTGCAGGTTATGATCCCACCAGTTCTTTACTACAGGAGGTGGTACTTATAGCATAAGTTCCAATGAATCATTTAGGGCACATAGTTGTGCCTCTATTATTATTATTATTATTATTATCATCATCATCATCAGTGCAAACACACATTTGCATTCATTTTACTTCATCAAAATGCATAGCAAGACTTAGTAACATACCTATTTTCTGAGGCAAGAATAATAGTGATTAATTTCTCTTCCACCTCTAACCCCAGTTGAAATTTTACATCTAAGAAGTTGTGTGAAGAAAAGAAAATGTAGCTCTTTCCTCACAAGTCTTTACCTCTGTGATCATGATCAAGCCTACGAAGTAGGAGATGATAGAGATCAGAAGGATTAGAATTTCTCTGCGGTTCTTTTTCCGGAAAATCCCAGGATACATGTCAACTACGGCGGTCACCAGGCTCTCCACACAGACAAACTAAGGACACAGGCATTGAACAACCATAAGATCTTTCCTAGTATAGAAACTCACTTGATTTAAACTTCCCTTTCACTCAATGAAACACCCATGAATTGTTGGATACAGTCACAAAGAATCCCTCAAATCCCCTACATAACTTACACCTTGAGTTAGACATTATTATTATTATTATTATTATTATTATTATTATTATTATCATCTTTATTTATACCCCGCAAAATCTCCCGAAGGACTCGATGCGGCTTACAAAGGCCGAGGCCGGCGACAACAACATACAATACGCAGTAAAACTCATAAGCAAATAATAAAACATCAAGCAAAACAATAAAACAGTAAAACAATGACACCGTGATGCAATTAAAAACCTAGGGGCCGGGCCAAATGTAATGGACAAAAGTTAAAAGTGCTGAACCCGACAGGTAATATATAGAGATATTTGGCGGTAGGTGCAATGTGCAGATAATCCTGAATCTCTAACAAAGTGCGTTTGGGACTTGAGGATGCCTGCCACACATGCAGGAGAAACATCAAGCCTTCAACAACGATTATGGTGAGGCATCTTGGCAGCTGTTGTATCACAATCAAAGAACACACAATTTCCACCCCTTTATTAGGATGAAGAGGAGGCTGTTCTGTCGTGCACTGGGCCTGTAAAGAATTTCCTTTAAAATAGGACGTGCAACCTTTGGCCAGCGGGAAGCCAGGGGGTCCCAAAGAGAAGTTCTCAGGGATTTTCCAGAAGTGATGGTCTTTAGAGTGGTTGATAATGTAGCAAGGTCTTTATTATGGAACAAACAACAAATCTTCAATGATTCAAACAACACTTCAAGGCTTTCTCAGTCTAGTCCTCAATGAACTGGCACCTGACTTTGATTAATTAAACTTTCTCTGTAGGATAAACCCTTTTTAACTTCTCCCAGGCTGATTGTAATCTAAGTCTTACTGATGCGGGCTCTGCTACCGGGTCGAACTGCGTCTCGTACACCGAGTGGACCTACCAGTAAGGCCAGTAGATTCTCCAGCTGGAGTTCTTTGGTCTTCCAAAACTGTTTACCCTCCGAAATTCTTCAAAGCTTTAGGGCTGTTTCCCGGGTAATCTTTGAAGACCATTGGATGCTCTTAAGACTGTTCTCCCCCATAAAGTCTTAAGAGTTGAAGCTTTTGTACAGGAGAAGCTTGAACACATCCTATACATTAGCTTTCCTTACTGAGACTAACTAAAAATGGCTCCCTTCCCTTCCCAATTGCCCTGAACAAGGGGTGGAACCAAAACTTAATGATGATGAGCAGGTGACTTGCCCTACGACTGCAACCAGAGGAAGCCACCTTTCTGCAGACTCCTTGAAACCTTGGACTGCAAGCAAACATTTAATACAAAGCATATAAAGTTGGAGCTCCTGGTACAGCTGTACCAGCATAGAGGCAGAGAACTATCTTTCTGATATTTATTTATTTATTGTGTCAGGAGCAGACCAAAGCTTGACTTTGCTCACTGAACACATCTTTACCTGGCTGTCCAACCCCAGTAGAACGATCATGACAAAGAAGAAACAGGCCCATAATGGAGAGAAAGGCAGCATAACAACAGCCCGGGGGTATGCGATGAATGCCAGTCCAGGCCCTGTAAAGAGAAAGTAACTGAAATGAGTGTGCTTGAATATGGGAGCAGTGAATACACACTGATAATCATAGAATCATAGAGTTGGAAGAGACCCCATGGGCCATCTAGTCCAACTCCCTGCCAAGAAGCAGGAAAATCACATTCATACTCAAGTATGGAGGGCCATACCACTTGAGATGGTAATCCTGTTTTGGGTCTTCAACAATGAAAATACTGATTGTGGATTGTACTCCAACACATGGAGGATATTTACTTGAGGATGATTATATGAGTACCTTCAATTCTGTACCTTGGGAAATGACTGAATGTTTCTAGACACACATTCACATACAAACTTGTTCATGCCCAGACACCACATAGAAAATAAACACATTAAAAAGAAAGATAGTCTGAACACTTTGTGTCTGACATTCCAATGTACTATGTATATGGGTTTTTTTTTTTACATGTACAGAGTAGTCCGTAAGAGATAAGACTATGGATTAGCACATTAGGAAAAGCTCAGTGTAGCACCATTTCCTGTGACAGCAAAAGGTCAGGAATGATCTGATTCTGAACTTTTTATATGTTTATTCACACACCAATACTCTTTTGCATTGTTTAGATGACATAAAAATAAGGTAAATGGCAAGTTTTGGGGAAAACAGACGCCCTCCCTCTCTCATAATACTTGAACCTGGGATTGTCTATTAAAGCTGAATGGTGATTGATTCAGAACAGATAATGTGCTTCTTTACAAAATGCATGCTTACATTGCAGCATTCACTGCCACAGGAGTAAGGATGGCTGCTAATCTAGATGTCTTTAAAAGAAGAGTGACAAATTCATGGAATTATAGAATCCTTGAGCTGGAAGAGACCTCATGGGCCATCCAGTCCAATCCCATTCTTCCAAGAAGAAGGAAAATCGCATTCAAAGCACCCCCAACAGATGGCCATCCAGCCTCTGTTTAAAAGCCTCCAAAGAAGAAGAGGCCAAAAGTGAATGCACGTCAAAATGACTAGGTATCACTTCCACCAGAGGTGACAGCAGAGTATCAGAGTTATGCCTCTATATATCAGTTACTTGGGAAAAGAAGAGGAAGGGTGAAGTTGTTGCTCTGCATGACACTAGTGTCATCATCATGATCATCTTTATTTATACCTCGTTTTTTTCCTAAAACCTGGATTTAAGACAGTGCTCATGCCTTGCTGGCCAACATCCCATGGGCAATTACTACATGAATATAATGTTGGATTAGATGCAGCATAGGTTGAGATCCACCACAGCTCTCCTTGTATTAGTGGTTTGCACGTATGGCTTAGATTCTTAAATATTCATGGATAGATAATAGGTTTTGTTTAAATAGTATTAAAGTCATAGAATAAATATGTTGAGAATCTGGTACTGAAAATGTACCAATATGACTGAAATATGACTTATTATTTGAGCCAGGATTTCACTATTGAAAATACTTCTGATTTGAGGCTATTTTGCACATTATATAGTAGAAAACCCAGATTTTCCACCTGGCAGACATTGAATACAGTTGCTCATATTGGTCCTGGCTTCCTGAGAAGTGCACCTTGATAGCATTCACATTTGAAAACGTGTGTTTGCCAAGGTCTCGCGTTGTATTTTTAGGTGCTAAAGTGAAACACCTTGTGTGCATGCTTGTAAATATGTGGATTTGCCATTATAGGATTTGAAACACTGCAGGAGTTAAATGCATGGGCATTTCCCTATAGCCAGAAATGGATTGAATACATCCTTATTAAATGTATATGGTAAAGAGGTCCAATGTGACAGTTCTGCTGTGTACTCTATTCATCTACAATGTAGTGAGGTGAGAAATGTCAAAATCGCTGCAAGAGATTGGGGAAGAGGCACATCTTGGTTTCCAGACGCCATAGATCAGGCATGGGCAAACTTGGACCATCCAGGTGTTTTGGACTTCAACTCCCACAATTCCTAACAGTCGGTAGGCAGTTAGGAATTGTGGGAGTTGAAGTTCAAAACACCTGGATGGGCCAAGTTTGCCCATTCCTGCCATAGATCCATGGTTGAGGAAAATTAGCAGGAGCTACCTTTCAAGGCATACAAGGTGTGAGGGAATGTGGCACTCCAGATGCTCTTGACTAAATTCCCAGAATCCCTAGCCAACAAAGACAATGATGAGACATATTATGAGAGTTATGGTTCATGGCTGCCCACCTTGTTAACATAAAGAAAATACAAGTTGTGGTCATTGTTATACCAGCTTGCCATTTGTGTGTCTTTGTCTTCAGTATAAAGGTCCACATGCATAAACTGCTCACCTGACTCAGCTACTTCAGAAATAGGCACTCCTTGTTCTTCTGCCATAAAGCCCAAGATGGAAAAGATTGCAAAGCCAGCTATAAAACTTGTACCACTGTTCAGAAAACATAGAGCAATGCAGTCCCTAGGAAGAAGAAACCAACGTCAATGCAGAAGGCCAAACATCCAATTAGAAAAGAGTATTGTTTTGTAAGACGAGTGGTCAAGTTAATAGCAAGTATCACTAGGAAAACATAAGACAAAAGGATCATTACAGAGAAATGTACATCTCACAGTTGTAACTCAGTTGACTACATGAATGTTGACTGATCAATTTAATTTCCATTCATTTGAATATGAATAACAATTCTGCAAACCCAGGTGGTGCAGCGGGTTAAACCACTGAGCTGCTGAACTTATTTATTATTATTTATTGATTTGAACCATTTATATTCTGCCCTTCTCACCCCAAAGGGGACTCATGGTGGAGCACAACATATATACGGCAAGCATTCCATGCATAAAATAACTATAAATATAAACAAATACTAAAATCAGTTATATCAGTTGTTTAAAACCATCTCAAAACACCATGCCGGCTCCGGTCAGCGGCGTGGGTTTCCTATTATTGCCTTATTGCACTAATAGGCTTGGTCCCTCAGTCAGGTTTTTACTGTTTTTCTGAAGGACAGGAGGGAAAGAGCTGATCTAATCTCTCCAGGAAGGGAGTTCCATAGCTGAGGGGCAATCACTGAGAAGTCCCTTTCTCTCGTCCCTGCCAAACGTGCCTGTGACAATGGTGGGATTGAGAGCAGACATCCCCAGAAGATCTTAGTCTTCACAGTGGTTCATAAAGGGAGATGCATTTGGATAGGCAAACTTGTTGTCCGAAAAGTCTGCTGTTCGAATCCGGGGAGCAGGGTGAGCTCCCGCTGTTAGCTCCAGCTTCTGCCAGCCTAGCAGTTCGAAAACATGTAAATGTGAGTAGATCAATAGGTACTGCTTCTGCAGGAAGGCAACTGCACTCAATGCAGTCATGCCGGCCACATGACCTTGGAGGTGTCTACAGACAATGTCGGCTCTTCAGCTTAGAAATGGAGATGAGCACCACCCTCCAGAGTCGGATATGACTAGACTTGTCAAGAGGAAACCTTTACCTTAACAATTCTGAAAAATCTTTAATTTTTTTTCAGATGAAAAAAGCTCAGAAGAGGTTTTTCCATTGGAATGAAAGATGGATTTTTAAAATAAAGTAGTTGCCAACTATAGATTTTTAGAAACTTTCAATTCAAACAGTTTCTAAAACAACATCCTGCCCAATTCTTCAGGGACATCTTTTTAATCAAAAGATTTTTAACTTACTACATTCCAGCCTTCAATTTATACCAAGAAGAGTAATATCCTTCTGTGATATTTGCTCAAAAAGGAAACATCTCCTTCAAAGGTAATTTGAAGCTTTCTCCTCACAGCTTTTGCCTATTTCAGCGCATCCTATCAAATATGTCAAGTGGGTTACTGATTAATAGTTTCTTAATTGCAACTTCATTAGTTTCTATTCGCCACCAGGTGCAGAGCTTTAATCTCAGAATGTATCCATTGCTCCTGCTTTTCATTTTTTAGGTAATTAAAAACTATATAATTACAATGCACTTTAAAGCACTAGCAATTTAGTAGCCACACTGGACAGGAAGCCATTTTTTAAATGCTAAAAGGAAAAAATATGTTAAAAGTATAGGAGCCTTGATGAATCTCAATATGCATTAGGTTGTTGTTTTTTTTAATTATTGAAATAATTGTTCTTCTTCAAAACATACAAAAATCCAAAGAGAGGCTGATATGATCTATATTCCTTATAAAATGTAAGTAAACAAATGGCAACAATCACATACTAATCTGGTAGATTGAAAATAGTGTCAAAACACTGAGTTTTTCACTATATATCATAGAACGTGTGAAATGGATGGATTCAGAGGAGGATTCCATTTCCGGTGGGAGACCTGTGTTTCTTCTAACATGTAATTTTTTTATTTAGTTTCAAAAAGGAAAACCACAAATCATACCCTCCAAAACACTGGTCCAAACAATGTCAGATGTAGCCAAGATGGCAAAAGTTATTAATGAGGAACATCACAGAAGCTAGGAGAGGCTCCAGCAATTTGTTTTGGCCCAAACTTTCAGGAAAAGACCTCTCCTCTCCTTTGTTCTCTCTCTGGTGGGTAAATGAGTGCAAGCTACTTTTCCATTTTGAACTAAGTTTGCATCAACAGAAGCTTAACACAAACAATTGAATAAGTTGGATAATGGATGGTTACCAATGACTGCCCAGGCCAAATCAGTACATTTGGAGGGTGTGACAAATAATTTCATTTAATTTTGAAATGGGGAAATAAGACAAGCACAAAGTGGGAAACAAAAGTAGGAATTTTTCCACCTGATAAGTTATTTCAGCTATATTTAAAGCAGTGGTTCCCAACCTGTAGTCTGTGGACTACAAGAATGAAAATATAGTATGCGACCTCACCATTACAACAGTGTTGCCTAGAAACTATGCAACAACTAGAGAGACTGGTCTTGCGAAACCCTCTTATAGTGCCGAGGCAATGAGGATGTCGGGAGGGAAGACACTGAATACCTACAAAAATTGCTACTACCACATCAGCTCCAGATTATTAAATATGGTTTTCTGTGAGTGAACAGATGGTGACTACTGGATGGCGTATTTTCTGTATTTGAAACTAGAGCTGATGTGGTCTAGCCAATGCAATTTTCTGAAGCAGCACCCCAAATGATCAAACAGAATCTAAAGTTGACCAAAACTGACTTGTAACCCTTTTGGTACTAATGTTGGAGTTTGATCTCTGGTCAAAATGGTCTCTGGTCAAATGGTCCCTGGTCAAATAAGGGTTGGGAACCACTGGTTCAAGGGCTACTAAAAGCTTCAGAAAGAAAGGAGCAAACACAGAGGCTGGGTCTTGATTTCTATAAGTACCCTTCAGTTACCTGTAACAGTTGTTGTGATATTTGTTGTAGCTGCCCAAAGCTGTCAGGCACCCCAGGCAAATGGCATAGGAGAAGAAGATCTGAGTGCCTGCATCCATCCACACCTAAAAGCCAAAAATATATAGTTAGTGGGTAGAACACCCAGTCAGAAGAGCATTTCCAGTATGTATTGAACAATATTCTTGGTTTCTTTGTGATGGCTGACCAAATGTTGTAGATGGAGGACTACCTCGAAAAAATGTACTATAGAAGTTACCCATGATACTTATTTGGTGCTGTTGTTATGTATATTCAAGCCACGTCTAGCAAATGGTTCTTCTGTCATATAGTTTACTTGGCAAGATGTCCTATTTTTAGCTATGACATGCTGAAAGGTATAGCATCTGATGGGCCAAGCTTGGGTAAAGTTGCATCTTGCCCTCTCTTCTGCTTCTGCCAAATGTCCATCACTTATTATGCTGGCCTAGGAAGAGTTTTAAGACTTTATTGCACAAGGCAGGCACACTGGCATTGATACTCCTAAGCCCTTTGTTTTCCCTTTCCTGGAAGACACAGAATTGTGAGTCATACAACTCCTCTTGCACCTGTCAAACTGGCCTACTACCTGCTACTATGGTGGAGGAACTTTCAACTACAAGTTTTGTAAGCTTCCATAAACAGGATGGAAGAGCTGCCATTATTTCTTTCCTCATGCTGCAAAATATCTTGGGCCAGCTCCATGGCACCACTAGGGTTGGTGTCACCTGGACCTTTCACTCATAATGTCACCCTCATGGACTTCTTCCTATACTAGACCATGCCAGAATATTCTAGCAAAAATACCAGAAAATTTGACAAAATCAGTTACTGAAAAAACCAATAGCAATGAAAACAACAGTGTGTCCTTGTTGTGTGTGGAGACAAGACTACATGATTTGAAGCATCATTGTAAGTGGATAATAAAGACAGCTCTAACTAGAGCGCAAGCACATTAGACATTTTAAAAAGTAAATCAGCATAGATTTTTAGCTTTTAGGTATATTGATACAGTACATGTAAACTAAAGCTGGACATATAGAAAATGTTTTTGTGTTTGTATCTAATATTTATTTAGAAAAGCATGGAACGTGTGGTGGCCTCACAACTCCAGGTATTCTTGGTAGACACGGATTATCTAGACCCGGCACAGTCTGGCTTTAGGCCGGGACATGGTACCGAGACAGCCTTGGTCGCCTTAGTGGATGATCTGCGCCGGGAGCTCGACAGGGGGAGTGTGTCCCTGTTGGTGCTGCTGGACCTCTCAGCGGCCTTCGATACCGTCGACCACGGTATCCTTCTGGGACGCCTCGCAGGGATGGGTCTTGGAGGTACTGTTTTGCAGTGGCTCCGGTCATTCCTGGAGGGTCGATCTCAGAAGGTGTTGTTGGGGGACACCTGTTCAACCCCACAACCATTGTCTTGTGGGGTTCCTCAGGGCTCAATATTGTCTCCCATGTTGTTTAACATCTACATGAAGCCGCTGGGGGAGATCATCCGGAGTTTCGGGGTACGGTGTCATCTGTACGCGGATGATGTCCAACTCTGTCACTCCTTTCCACCTGCTACTAAGGAGGCTGTCCAGGTCCTGAACCGGTGCTTGGCCGCTGTGAACGGTCTGGATGAGGGCGAACAAATTGAAACTGAATCCAGACAAGACAGAGGTCCTCCTGGTCAGTCGCAAGGCCGAACAGGGTATAGGGTTACAGCCTGTGTTGGATGGGGCCGCACTCCCCCTGAAGACGCAGGTTCGCAGCTTGGGTGTGACCCTGGACTCATCGCTGAGCCTGGAACCCCAGGTTTCGGCGGTGACCAGGGGAGCATTTGCACAGCTAAAGCTTGTGCGCCAGCTGCGCCCGTACCTTGGGAAGTCTGACTTGGCCACGGTAGTCCACGCTCTGGTTACATCCCGTTTAGACTACTGCAACGCTCTCTACGTGGGGTTGCCTTTGAAGACAGCTCGGAAGCTCCAACTAGTCCAACGCTCGGCAGCCATGATTTTAACAGGAGCGGAGCGCAGGGAGCATACAACCCTCCTGTTGCGCCAACTCCACTGGCTACCGATCTGCTACCGGGCTGAATTCAAAGTGCTGGCGTTGGCCTTTAAAGCCCTAAACGGTTCTGGCCCAAGCTACCTATCTGACCGCATCTCTGCCTATGAACCCACCAGGACTTTGAGATCTTCCGGGGAGACCCTGCTCTCGATCCCGCCTGCTTCTCAAGCTTGGCTGGCGGGGACGAGAGATAGGGCCTTCTCGGTGGTGGCTCCTCGGCTGTGGAACGCCCTTCCTACGGACATTAGACTAGCACCATCTCTAATGGTATTCCGCAAAAAGGTGAAGACCTGGATGTTTGTGCAGGCGTTTGAGTAATTTAGTGCAATCTGGTAATGGAATATAGGAATGGAACAATGGACGACGAACCTGGACTACGCTTGGATGATGAGAAGATTGGGTACGGTTGTTTTTCGTAATAATTGTGCATTGTAATTGCTTATTGGTAATTTATGGATAATGTGTTAAGTCAATTGTTATATGTTGTATGGAACCACTGCTGTTTCTACTGTTTTTACTGTTTGTGAACCGCTGTGAGTCGCCTTCGGGCTTGAGATACAGCGGTATATAAGCAAAGTAAATAAATAAATAAATAAATAAATAAATGTGATACATTTCTGCAGAAAGACTGCACAATTTTCATAGACTGAAATGCTGCACAACTTTTATAGACCGTTATTTTAGTGACAATCCTGATATTGTCACCCGGTGTGGTTCTCACTCCCCACACATCCGTGGGTGAGCTTTCTATGCTGCATTTGTTTGATCTCTGAGATCATCTTGACTTTAAAAGGAAAAAAGGAAGAAAGAGAAGGAGAAAAAGTATGGCTGACAGAAGGAGTTGGAAGGGATCAAAGAAAAAAAAAGAAAAAGAAAAATTGGGAATTGGAAGGAAAAAGAGAGAGGCTCACAAAAGAACTGCAGGAAATGAGCATGTCTATTTTCCCCATTTAACTTACCTGGGGATCACTGAGCCGTGTAATGTCTGGGTAAAGGTAGAAGAGGATCCCTTTAGATGCTCCAGGCAGAGAGACTCCCCTGATTAATAGAACTACCAGCATGAGATAGGGGAAGGTGGCCGTAAAGTACACCACCTAGCAAAAGAGTAGAACGTGAGAAAGGTGAGCAATCCACATGAGAAAATATACTGTAAAGCAAGCCAGATAGACATGCAAAGCTTTGAGTAAACTCATGACAAAGACAGCTTATGTTCTGAAAGATTATTGGGGACAGTATGAAAAAGATGGAGATTTGCTTTGCCTGCAATGATCACACAGATGGTTACAGTTTATAGCAACAATGGCTTTGAGTTCTACCATTTGGTATCAATGTTTTTGTCTCACAAGATAGATAGATAGCATACAGAGAGAAGAAGTAATGGCTAAGGATATGAAAAAATACAAGGGTTATCCGGAAAGTAAGGTTACAAGGTACATAGTTCTTGCGGGGAATTTTTGTGGGAGAAGTTGGTATCACTGCCGTGTAGTGGGAAGCCAGTGGAAGCAAACGAGCAGTGCCAGTCATCAGTAGCTCATCAACTGGCATTGTGGTGAAGGCTAGAAATGAGTGTCTTCATTCTGTTTTCCTCCAAGTGCAAAGTTTACGATGTAATACGCTACCTAAATGCTAAGAGCATGAACGGCTCTGCGATTCATCGCAAAATCATTTCAGTTTATGGAGAGGATGTGATGTCAAGATAGCATGTGACAAAATGGGCAAAGAATATTTGTGAGACCACAACAAAAGTTTGCAGACCCATCCAAAACAAATGTTGTGGGATGCTGATGGCGGGAGTCTGTCTCTTTCATGAGAATGCATGTCCGCACACTGCTAATGCAACACAAGAGTTGTTGACTTCATTTGGTTGGGATGTTTAAAGCCACCTCACTTACAGCCCCGATCTCGCACCCAGTGACTATCATCGGTTCACTAAATTGAAGGCCTTGGTGGGAAACACTTTTCTGATGATGAGGAAGGTAAAATTGAAGTGATAAACTGGCTGAAAAGGCAGAGGGAAACTTCTATGACACAGGCATCAAAAACACATCCCACAGATGACAAAATGGATTGAACTGAATGGTGCTTATGTGGAAAAATAATGTTAATACATATGCTACAATCTATGAACATTTTATTAAAATATATTCATTCTTTGTGTATATAAACAATTTAAAGACCTTACTTTCCAGATAACCCTCATAATACATAAAACCCTAAGAAACTCCTGGACAACCCCTGTTTTATTCCTTATTCCAGGTGACCCACAGAAAGCAAGCGTAATGAAGTGGTTTGAATGTTGAATTGAAACTTGAGGAAACTAGGGATCAAATTCCCTTTCAGCCATGGGAACCTACTGAATGAACTTGGGAAAGTGATATTCTTCCAACTCAGAGGAAGATAAAGATAAGTTCACTCTGAACACATCTTGCCTAGAAAACCATGTGCCATATATCAGGAACTACTTGAAGACAACACGGGTACCCCACATGGAACAAATGTTGTAATTCTGTGGCAGTTGGGCATTGTATACTTTTTTTTCAATAACTTAAGATATATGTATATAAAACATATTATAAATGAAACGGTGTCATTCATTGCTTACAATACCTGGGATGCTACATCAAGCAGGAACAAATGAAGCCACTTTATGCAGCAACATCATTTGTCCCATGAACCTCAGAACATTGGAGGGAGGGCTTGGGCCACTGCAAATGACACTGTATGTCCTGTGTCCCATCCATCCCAAAATAACAAGATAATACTAGACCACTAAGACTTCTGTATAGTTGAGCTGTTCCAAGAAATGGTTTTAAAAATGCACTACTAACCAAACAGAAACATTAAGAGTATTTGACCCCACCTCAGTCACCTAACTAGTATTGCATGTAATCAGTCTTGTTTTCCACAAACCTGAGGACCCATTCTTGGTTTGTCATTGCCATCTCAGATCCTATGTGTATGTTAAGTTGTGCTTTTTCTTTTCCTTTTTTTTCAAACAATATGCATTTTTTCATATTTGCTTACAGATTGATATAGGGGAGAAATGTGCTTTTTGTTCATGACTGCAAATGGAATAGCAAGAGCAGTTGTGCGTGTGGGTTCCCCAATGGCTTTAAGGAAGGACAGGCAAAGCAACCTCCCATCTCAAGGAAATGTCCATCCTGTCTTAGAGAAGAAGTCTTTCTATGCAGTCCTGCATGAGCTCCTTCTTAAATGAAGGCGCCTTTCTACATGAAAAGCATTTTTGCCATTGAACTGCTGGTGCATGTTATTGGTTAGTCCTCGGTTCACAGGGAATCATTTGGGTTTCAAAATTTGTGGCTGTGTATATTTGTTTAAGGTTTTTTCCATCCCGAGTCTGCCAAAAAGTAAGTGAAAAGCAAATTACAATTCAGCTGAAAACAGTACATATCAACGAGGCATCTAAAACAAAAACACTGCCTTTTTGTTTCATGCTCTTTCCCTTCTCCTTTGGGCATGGTCCAAATGGGAAAGACATGTTTTGCCAATTTATTTCTGAACTGAAATCACAGAACCAGATGAAGGCTGTGGGTCTTATGAATCAGTCTGAACCATGCTATAACATACATTGTACTTGCAATCAAACATGTTATCATATTTGAAAGTCTAGAACTGTGAGTAAGGTCATTGAACTTCCCATTATATATAAAGTTGGTCAAAAAAAATCGCATGTCAGAGGTGACTTGAGATTATACTGCAAGTTGCTTCTGGTGTGATAGAATTGATAGTCTGCAAGGACATTGCCCAGGGGACACCCAAATGTGTTACCATCCTTTGTAAGGCTTCTTTCATGTTCCTACATGAGAAGCTGGGGCTGACAAATGGGAGCTCACCCCGTTCCATCCCATCTTTCCTGTCTTGAGGGATGGCCAGCCATTCCATGTCCTTACCCATCTTTCTCCAACTTTCTTATGTCTTGGAGCTATTTGGAGGACACTAACCCACAACTCCTGGAGATGGGTGTAGGGCTCAATTTCCATGTGCTGCAGAAATGGATTCCCATGGAGTCCCACCAGAAGTGCCCTTTTGTCATGTGATGGCCTTCATGGGACTCCTGTGGGGCTCCATTTCTGCAGCACATGGAAATGGAGCTCTACGCCCATCTGATTAGGTCCTAAAGACCTGTTTGGTAGGAACAAGGGAAATAATCATTTCCAAAGTCTTCTCCCAGAAGGTGTGATATAAATGACTAAAATAATCACCATCAGATGGTTGTCGTTCTAGCTCATGCTGTACTTTGTGGTGCTAAATGAATTCTTTAAGTCACCAAAACGGAAATTGCTTTACTCCCCAAGTGCTGATCTTCATTTTTCCCTTTAAAATACCACAAACGATGACAACAATACCAGCTTTTATACTTATTTGGATTTACTGTTTGTTGCCAGGAAACAGCGTAAGTCAAATCCGCTTTAAGCCAAACTTTTCTCCACAAAGACTGGGGTGAGACTTTTTAACCCTTCCAAATCCTAGAACCAAGCCAAATAATTCTGCCTGCAAACAAGAAGTCTCTTGCTGATTGACATCTATTTTCCAATAGGAAGGCAGTCAAATTCAATTATATGCACTCTTCAATCTGATTCCATTTAGAGTAGTTCTCACAAAGCTAATAAATGAATGCCATCACATCTGAATATTTGCATGCTTGAATGCACCAATGCTTCACAGTCAGAGAAAGACAAGTCACTCAACTCTTTCTTCTCTCTGACAGAAGGGACTATCTGGAGGAAGTTATTGATCTATTTATTTGTTTGGCTATAAAGGAGCATTCAGGCAAGTGAACCTACTGCTTACTGTATCTGAGGCATCTACAAACCCAGACTCATACAGTTGCTACCTCAATAAACATCAGTTCATTATTTTCTGGACTGAAGCATAGGTTGACAAGTATCACATTGAACCCTACCAATGGATGCATCTAGAGCAAACTTGCCCAACATGACACACTTTAACTGCTGATGAAGTTTCAGGGGGTTTAGCTAGCATGATGTGAGTTGTAGTTCACCCACAACCTTCTTCATTTAGTAAAATAAAAAAAATGATTTTTTCAAATAACCCAGATACCCAAGCTAGTTAATAATAAACACTGAACTCAGCAGGAGAGAGCAGAAAAGAGAGGATGCAACCTTGCCCTTCCAAGTCGACAAACTGCTGCAGTCTCTCCTAGTTTGGGTGTTCTTCTTCATTAATAACTTAATCACAGGTTGGTGTTGCTTAGCCGCATGAGTCCCAGTTTCCAGTTCGGAGATGGGTCCCCTCCAACCAGCTTTTAATTTAGTTGCAATAATGAAGGCACTCCACTCATAAAGTTCTGGCCCAGTTTACCTGTCTGAACGTATCTCCTGATACGAACCACCTAGGACCTTAGGATCGTCCAGGGAGGTCCCCCCACCATCACAATCATGGTTGGTGGGGACAAATGACAGGGCCTTCTCCAAGTTGGTCCCTCGGCTATGGAATTCCCTCTCAAGTGAAATCAGATCTGTTCTGTCCCTCCTGACTTTCCGGAAAAAGTGAAATCCTAGCTCTGGGATCAGGCCTTTGCGGACTAATTTGACTTGATGGCAAAGCTATGGTTTTAATGGACTCTGGTGCATTGTTTTTAGGACAACGACTTAAATTGGTGATTGTTTTAATGTTTTTATAATGTTTTATGCTGTTTTTTTACTTGATATGTATACCTATGTTTTTTGTTGATATCTTTCCTGAGTCCCTCTGCGGAGGTTGAGATAGGACAGGATATAAATGTCTTAAATAAATAAATAAATAAATAAATAAATAAATAAATAAATAAAGATTCTGCATTTCTTAAAGCCAGAGCATTCTATTGAGGCATAAGTCAAGCTAGGCTCACAGCTCCTTACTTACGTAAGTTGACAACATTGCACCAGGTGCTGTAGCAAAGTCCAGCGTGCAGTGCAAGCCTTCATCTCGCATTTGAAGCAGATTGTTCTTTCAAGCCATTGGCCCCTAGGCCTGCATGGAAATAGCAGACTACTTGGCATAGGTATGTCTGGCCCAAATCCAACACTGTGACCATGTTGGTTCAATGAAATGATAGCAGATGTTTGGCTTC